ATTTATTGTATGATAATGATAAGAAAATATTGTATTCGTGGTATTGCTTATCGCTACTTACGCATTTTTCTCACCAGTCTGACAAATTGTGGATAAGCACGTTAAAATGCTCTACTTAGGGAAACCAGTCATCGAATCATTTCTGTACATTTTCGTAAGAAGTGAAACGCTGCTGAGCAATTAGATGTCCCATCGAAGCAAATAAGCGGTAATCGGACGAAACCAAGCCTGATAAGTAAGCCGCGTGTGAAGGTATTTTCCAACTAAACGCCTTAATAGTTTCCTTGGCCAGCTTTGCTGTGCGTGATGGTGTATTATTATGAAGCAACATCACGTTATGTTATCGTTTTACATATCCTGGCCGCGTTTCATGCTAAGCTTAATTCAAATCAAGCATTTCTTGACAGTAGCGTAGTATCAACAGTTTCGTCAGATTTTAGCAGTTCGTAATACAAACACGGAGCATTGTCTTCCTTCCATAGCGATTTAGCCTTGCAATAGTTGTTTTGCCTGGAGCTACTTTTACGCTTATGATTCTCACAATATCACTTATCATAATCACCTTTCATCACTAGTCATAATTCGATGTAGAAATGACTTTCTTTTGTATCTGGCAAGTGGGCAAGTGGTTTTTCAGTTTTCTTGCTGTCTTTCATTCAGTTCATGTGGAGCCCATTGTCTCATCTTTCCCATGGCTTTCAAACATATAGAGACGGTTTTTACCAACAGTATGCTCACCGTAACCTTCGACATGCATTTTTCAGCAGTTTTCTTCAAATGATAACAAAAAATCAACGGTGTTCACAAATCGTAGCATCCAGATACAAAATTTGACATGTTCAACGCAATTATAAACTATGCTGTTGTGTGAATCTTGTATCGTTGTGAGTTGCAAATCTTTGGTTGATGTGGATCAACAAATGGAAATGCAGTTTGATGATAATTACATTAATCTATGCACAAATTTAGGTATCATATTTACACACCGGATATATAATTTGATACTCATTCTTATTGTAATACAGCCTTGATCAAATTCATGCTTGAAATACCTTTTAATGTAGAATGAATCGTATTTTACAAATGAATTACCTCATCTTTACGGGAAGATTTAGGGAAAAGGCAGAGCACTTGAAACATTTTTTTTGTGCTACTCAAAGATAAGATGTCATTCCATGATAGTTTTGAACAGTTAGAGTTCTGCATAAAATTACTTATTTGTCTAACAAACAGTTATTACTCAAAAATGGAAGAACACTACTATCATGTCACATCAATTCAAGTCACGGATAAATTGTGTACACTATCGTTTCATGTGGTATTCATTCATATCATTAACTTCACGTACGATATCTCGTTTTTATTTTTCTGTCTGCTTGCTTACTTTTAATGTTTACGTTAGAACGTGGTTGAATATTTCATTTCAATTGAAATATCGCGATAAACATATTTATCAATAAGAAAGATATCATCAACAATTTCGCATTGATCATGGTAAATCAAATACATTTAGGAGAAAATGTTGTAGATGAAAATTGTGTGTACTGATCCAACAAAACGTAATCCGCAACCTAATATTACCAACCTAAAATAATAAATATTACTGATTTAAAATTCCGAATATTTAAAAATTGACAAAATTTCGAAATATTCAACAACAAAATGGTTTATAAGTAATAAATTAAAAATGATAGGTGAGAATAATATGAATAAAAATTGTTCATAATAAATCACAAAAACCTAATTCATAAACGATTTCTTTGTAACTATTTTTCAGTTTTGGTTATAAACTGTAAATGCTCAAATGTCAGAATTAACGTTTTTGAATGATATTGTTTATTATAATTAAAAAACTAAAAATGCTAGGAGAAAACGTTATGGATGAAAATTGTTTGCAATGAATCAAAGAATCGTTATTCATAAGCGATTATAACCTATCTATGATAATTACCAACCTAGCAGGTTTTAAATTTCAAATATTTGAAATATGACGCAATTAGCAACAAAATGGTTTTACTCAAAAATGAAAAACGAATGTTTCTAGTTCTAGGTCTACGTATTTAGCGTATTTAGCCGCACGTCTCTCAAAACGGCTAAACCCGAACGATTCTAGTTTTAGGTCTTGTGTTAGTTCTAGTGATAGTGCTAGTGTAAAATTAGAACTAACACTAGAACTAATATTAGACCTAGAACAAGAAACATTCAGACATGTTGCATTTTATGTGGGACATAGTAAGTAGCTAGGCCCTGGTTTCTATGGAAATATATTTTAGTATATTGCATTTTAAGTGAAATTCACTGTATATTGTGGGATATAACATTTAAAGAAGTATTTTAAGTATTTCCTTTAAAAATAACTTTTTCTACACATCACTTTCGTTTTAAAACACATTAATTTTGAATAACCCTATAAAACCTAATTCACTAAAACACCGGATATTATTTCTCGAAATAAAATTTTATGATCCAATTATTTCTACTTAAATGATTTTTAAGTTTTATTTTTTCGATGTTGTTACCGGAAGTGAAACGTGAAGACAAATTGAATTCGTCATATAACTTTGAGTGCGCATTGAATAAAATCGAGTTTTTACAACTCGGTCATGTAGCAATTAACATTTAATACGTCGTTCTGTTTTTATATCCGAATGAATAATAAGTAAAAGTATAATTGCGAAATCGATTCCGGTAGGCTTTCTCTTTCCCACAAACGACATCACATCGTATGGTTCGTTGCGACATTTACTTCATTGTCTCCATAAGGCATAAGAGAAAAAAATCTTATAATTTCCTGTTTAAAAGTGCGGGTTATTAAATCCAATTCACATTATACAAGTGGTAACTACAAATACTAAATTACCTACATGGATTTGTTGGATACGTTAATAAGCAAACGTAAAGTTGTTGACTTACATACTTCGAAGTTCAATTAACGTGGAATTACCTGTTGTGGTTGTATGCTTATTACCAACGTTTCTTGCATTCTACAAGTAGAGTTCGTTACGAATCTAATTACGAAATGAGGAACGTGTATAATTGAATGTGGTAACTTGCAGTTTTGTTACTGTATTATTTGCTAGTATATTATTTCTTGCTGTTATAATTTTGTGTATAAAAAGATGTGATTTTAAAACGAAATTTTATCTTTCCCTCTTAAAACGCGCGCCTTTTTTCAAACCAATTTCTTAATGGTTAAGGGTGAGTAGGGTGGAGAAATATCAAGTTTCATCCGCTTTCGGGGTCAACACGTGTCGGTGAACGGTTTTTTCTAGTTCAAGGAAGTCCTATCTCAGAATTTCCTATCAGTTGCCAAGATAAACAAACCATAATAAATTTTAAACTCGACAACTTCGTATCTTTTCCTCCAAAAACGATATCTTTTGCGAAAGACGAATTAGTTTTAGATAAACTATCACCGAACCATAAAATTTCCCAAAAATTATTGTCGGTTTGTCTTTAAGCTTTTAAACACATCATATGTTATTCATTGGTTTTAAACCCACCCGTTCACGCTTATTATCGTCTACCATTTCGTCGGATGTACTTTGAAACTTAAGACTTAAAATTGCTATCACGTGGGCACAGTTAATGACCCAAAACTTTTCGTGTATTAACTTAAAATCGTCTTCTTCTTTAAAATTTTACCAACATCGAGCGGTTTCGCTCAATTAAACCCTTTGATAACCGCTCAACATGAACGAACGCAAATCTCGCCGTAATCCGATCAGTCTCTTCTTCAGCAATAAGAACAACGAAATAAAACGAAACTTGATTCTCGAAAAGTAATCGGAACCCGGGATTCAAGTATCACTATTTAACCCTCTTATAAAGGGCTGTTCGAAAAAAATATTAGGTTCGGTCATCGCGTGCCTGCAAAAATTCATGTTAAAATAAAAAAAAATACAAAAGAAATCAAAACTGAAAAGGAACCAAACAAAGTTAACTTGGAAGTTGCTAACCGGATTAGAACGTATGGAATGGGTGTGGTCGTTGTTACGAGGTTTAGATGTCTTTCTCTGTTCACGATCTTGGTGAAACGAGGCTACTTTTACCTTGCCCATACGGAAAATGCAATGGCCTGTGGTAACAAACCATTTTAAGTGTAGTTTTTTTAGAACGAAGAAATTGAACGAGTTTGAGCGAGCTAAAATTAACTCCCAAAACAAATATTTATTAAGTGGTTATTTTCACTTTCACTTATACGGTTGTGATCTTAAGTGTTATGTACTGATTGTATTAATTTAAACTGTTTTCGGTGTATTTTAAGTTACCCATTAATATGTTCTCTCATGAATCTCCTTGTTCATGTTAACCGTAGCAATTTTTCGCGATATTACCCAACGTATCGTTTTCCGAGTGGTTCGTAAATCAACGTCACCATGCGAAAGCGAATCGTAATCCGGCATTTAAAGAACTCTCACCTCAACCTCGGGTTGGTGATTTTTCACCCGAAACTAAAAAGCAATCGACGTTAATTGCTGATTGACCGAGAATAAAAAAATAATGATAACATCTGGTTGTTGAAATAACGAGTTAAACGATTTAAAAGCTCAAAAAATTTCGTTACGTTTTCTTTGATCATGGGCACGAGGATCGTCAAGTATGCGAGTTAGCGTTTGCTATTGGAAATTGGACGCGTTCATCCAATTTATTGGACAAGCTTGTATCGATGGCCAACATATGTTGTCTTTTATTCGTGCCGATCTCGGTAAAGGCAATCGTAATAACGATAAATTGCACCGTGGGCCTTTGTCAGTTTCAAGATGCCAACTTGAGCGTAGGATTATGCATCATCTCCGTTTAATAGTTCGCATATGTTAAGCGAAAGAGTTTCACGTAATGACTTCCTCGAGTTCACGTCGTATCATAAATAATAGTAGTTTCGCGCTTTAAGGCTATGATACAAATCACCCAATTTACCTTATTCGGTATAAAACACAACAAAAATCTTTTTTTAAATTATTTTTTAAATTATTTTTTAAATTTATTTTTTTTTTCAGTGGTTTAACATCAACAGTATCAACGAGAGGTGTAACGCCAGTTTACCTTCGTTGTACAGCTGGAAGAGTAACATGGTTGTATCCCAGAGGTGCTTTAAGGATTCTTTTAAGGATACCAGCACAAGATAGAGAATTTAGAGCTTGTATAAAGCTACATCACGACGGTGGTAAAGATGTAGCCGCTCGCGTTTTCCTCGAGGGGCCAAGATCTTTGCATCCACTTTACGCCAACCAACATGTTGGGACGAAGGCTGTCCGGTAAGTTTTGTCTTTTTTGGTGTTGGAACGACAGCAAATCTAAACGTTTCTCTTATCGCAGATGCTTCAACAGCAAAAATGGTGCGGTCGCTCTGTACGTAGAAGCGAGTGATCCGGACAGTGTCGACAAGAGAGTTGCTGACATTGAATACGACTTGCAACCTTTGCCTAAAGGAGCTACTGGCTACGACCCATCAGAAGGTAAGGCGAAAAAGAATGACTCCGTATATGTATGTAAACATTCGAAGGCGGTGAATGTAAATCGAACAGCTAAAAATTTATTCGTTCCAACATAGGTTGCGTTAATTTCTTTTATTTTTTGAGGAATTTACATACACGTCCTCGACGACCTTGTAAAATTATTATTTAAATATATGCCTAAGTTGAAACTAAATTGATTCATATATTAATATTGATTTTGTTTCTTTTTTTCAGAATGTAGACCTTGCACTGGCGAAGAATTGGCACACGCTTTCTGTACGAGTGATTTAGGTAAAATACAAAAAAATAGATTATTTTTAAACTTTAAATAACCACATAATTTCTGGCTTTACATAATTATTACTTGTATAGTATTTTGATTATAACAAGAGTACCTTTCTACCCATTTTGATGAACAATATCTTATTCGAAAGCTTAATACTTGGCCAATAGGCAAGTGGAAATGCCCGATTCGAAATCTTTTTCGAATTTCGCTAACCCACTAAAATATTGGCATAGTTCACGAAAATAAGACAAAATGACCTTTTTTAGGGGGTCATAACTTGAAAACGATGTTCTCAATTGTCAAAATCTCTACGTCATTCGATTCTCCATAGTTTCTTGTATCGAAGTCACAAAATGCACAATCTCGATTGTTTCCCATTAATATCGCGAAAAAATCGAAAATATTATAATTAAATGAAATGGTTGTTTTACATATTGTTGTTGGTAGAGCATGTGATTCGGAATGTTGTACAGAAAAAGTTTTAATATATAGTTGTAGCTAACTTCGTTTTTAACAAAATTGCTCTTTTACATTTTGGCTCTCAGATGCATGAATATTGAGAAAAATTCGAATAAGTGAAAATTAGATAAAATCGTGGTTTTACATTTAGTTGTTGGTAGAGCGCGGAATTCAGAACGTTTTAGAAAAAAAGTTTTAGTATAAAAGTTGTAGCTAACTTTATTCTTAACAGTATTGCTCTTTTACACTTTTACTCTCAGATGCATAAATATCGAGAAAAATTCTAAAAAGCGAAAATTTAATGAAATAGTTGTTTTACATCTTGTTGTTGCTAGAGCACACGAATCGGAACGTTTTAGTATAAAAGTTGTAGCTAACTTTATTCTTAACAGTATTGCTCTTTACACTTTTACTCTCAGATGCATAAATATCGAGATAAAATCTAAAAAGTGAAAATTAGATAAAATAGTAATTTTTCATCTTGTTGTTGCTAGAGCACACGATTCGGAACAGATCAGAAAAAAAGTTGTAGTATAAAAGTTGTAGCTAACTTTATTCTTAACAGTATTGCTCTTTTACACTTTTACTCTCAGATGCATAAATATCGAGAAAAATTCTAAAAAGTGAAAATTAGACAAAATAGTAGTTTTACATCTTGTTGTTACTAGAGCACACGATTCGGAACGTTTTAGAAAAAAAGTTTTAGTATAAAAGTTGTAGAAAACTTTATGTTTAACAAAATTGATGTTTTACACTTTTGCTCTTAGATGCCTAAATATTGAGAAAAAATCGAATAAGTGAAAATTAGATAAAATCGTAGTTTTACATTTATTTGTTGGTAGAGCGCGGAATTCAGAACGTTTTAAAAAAAAGTTTTAATATAAAAGTTGTAGCTAACTTTATTCTTAACAGTATTGTTCTTTTACACTTTTACTCTCAGATGCATAAATATTGAGAAAAATTCTAAAAAGTGAAAATAAGATAAAGTAGTTTTACATCTTGTTGTTGCTAGAGCACACGATTCAGAACGTTTTAGAAAAAAAGTTTTAGTATAAAAGTTGTAAAAAACTTTATTTTTAACAAAATTTCTCTTTTATACTTTTGCTCTCAGATGCATAAATATCGAGAAAAATTCGAATAAGTGAAAATTAGATGAAATCGTTGTTTTACGTTTAGTTGTGGGTAGAGAACGGAATTCAGAACGTTTTAGAAAGAAAGTTTTAGAATAAAAATTATAGCTAACCGTATTCTTAACAATATTGTTCTTATACACTTTTGCTCCTATTGTTAGATACATAAATATCGAAAAAAGTTCTAAAAAGTGAAAATTAGATGAAATAGTGGTTTGGCATCTTGTTGTTGCTAGACCACACGATTCGAAACTATCAAAGAAAAAATTTTAGTATAAAAGTTCAAGTTTAGTATAAAATCATGGTTTTACATTTATTTGTTGGTAAAGCATCGTATTTAAAAAAAATGTTTTAGTACAAAAGTTGTAGCTAACTGTATTCTTAACAATTTTACTCTTTGACACATTTACTCTCAGATGCATAAATATCAAGAAAAATTCGAATAAGTGAATTTATCAAATTTAAAATAACAAATTTTCAAATTTACGCAATTTAACTCAACCAATTACTTTTATCTTGTTTGTAAAAATAATATTTCCGACCAAGAAGATTTTAAAGAAACTAGACTCCAAACAAACCAAATATTTGTAAGATGGTTTGTTTTGGAGACTATCTAAAAGCAAACACGCGATAAAACTGTACCAGTTCCAAGAACTTTTACATTATTTACATCCTTAAGTCGTCCAATGCAAAATATTTGTACAGTTATCAAGCATTTCCCGACGAACTATCATAAATTATGAAACCCTTTTGTTAACCAATCATATTAATAAAATAATTTCTTTTTATTTTTAGTTGCTAGGGGGATAATTCGCGGTGTTGAAAATGTGGATGATCTTCAAATATCAAAAGTGTACATGAAAGTTACGAAAATGATTCGACACACAACCGTGGATGGGTATTACAGGGATCTTGAAACCAATTCTATAGACATTGGAAATGAAGACGAAAATGACGTGGTGTTAAACATGCCTCAACATTGTGGTGTTAATTACGGTTTGGGAGAGTTTGTTTTTATGGCAAAACGAAAACTAGGTGACTTAACGATAAAGTGTGCTCCAAGATTGGAAGATTGGGCGACTTTATTGCATAAACTGTCTGACGAAGGCAAAGCCCATTGTGTATTAAGAAGTTAGCCGGCCTAGAGACTTACATTTTTGAGTAGCTAATTCTGTGATTGTATAGTATTTGGAAAGTTCTTAGATAAATTACGGTTCGAAATTTTTGTTAAACCACGCAGGCAATTTTGTGCAATTATTGCATGTATCATATAATTTGTAAATAGTTAGTACTCCACATTGGAGGTGATAAATTCGTAATTCGTTTATTGTTATGTGTAAATAAAGTAAGATGATAAAATTTAAAAAAAAATATATTTATTATGCAAAGGTTTTGTATGTAAGCAAAAATATATTTGCGCCTAATTTTTGTTAATTAAATAATTAATGGCCCCGTTAAAATTGTATTTTTATATTTGTACAGAAATTGTCGTAAATATATTTTATTGTTATCGAAGAGAAAAAAATTATAATAAACTTACAACGCTGTACTTGTGCCGAAAAAATAAAAAACAACGAAAATCTTCAACACTTCCACATTTCTCTTCTCGTAATATTTTTATTGTAAACTATTTTAATCACAATAATCAAATTCTTCTTATGAATTCTATGTGCCAAAATAGAACTGTATTATTTGAGTTCCCTTTATACGTATTTTCCCGTCTATGTGCCTTTTAAAAGGATCTCATGTATAAAATGATGTATTAATTTTAAGAAAAATGTATATTCCTGAAATTTTTAATAATTATTGTAAAAAAAACGTACCGTTAGCAAGAATGTGATTCCACGTCAAATTTTCTTAATGTATATTATTTCAATTTGTGTAATGTATTTCTTTGCCATACTGTGATATGTATATTAATTTTTTTATGAAATGTACTTTTGTTTATATGAGAAATGTTTTTTTGAGAGAATATGAAGATTGATAAATAAATATTTTCTGAATAATAAAAATTTAGTTTTTATACATCACTTAATTAGAAATATAATTTTGAAACTTAAATAATAATAATAATAAATCCCTTTATTTTCATAATGCTTACATAAATAGAAAATAGTTAAACAAAAGAACCTTTACAATTAAGTACATAACATTAATTAATTAATTACAATACCAATAAATTTACAAATTCAAATCCAAAAATTTTACAAAATAAAAGATGTTAATAACCATACTTCTTAGTCGGTTGAAATATTTTCGAGAAAAAATCATCTACCCTGTAAAAAGCTTTCGCGATTAAGACTTCTTTCAATCTTTTTTTAAATACATATTGGTAGCGCTTTCCAATCAAACGGTAAGTAATTGTACAGTTTTATACAAAAATATAAAACACTTTTCTGTATTTTAGAATAATTAGTCTTCGGTGGTAGTAAAAATAATCGTTCGGTGCCTCTCGTTTGATGTTGATGAGATAATTCATATTTTGAGAAAAATTCAGGGTAATTATTTATAACAAAAAGTGCACATTCCAGAATAAACAAACACCTACACATCGCGACAGTGTTCGAAGCGCAAAACGTGTTCTGGATAAACTAGTTGTCCACCCATCAATGTGTTGACTCCAGGAAAGGCGGCAGTCCATCTTTAAACCCAGGAACGTTACCTCCTGTTGATAGGTGAGTAATTGTCCTCCTAACATTATTTTTATCTCAGGTGTTTTATTTACAAAAATCATAAAAGTTAATTTTGCTATATTGAACTGTAGATTATTTCCTAACAACCATTCGTTTAGTTTTGTTAGGATTGATAGGATTTTAACCAATCAAGGACAACTCCGCGGAAACCCATTTTTTCCCTTTATTCAGAAGGATTTCATGATTCACACAGTTGAATTCTTTCGTTAGGTCCATAAAAATGCACTGAGGGAAATTATTCTTGACTCTCAAGAAAAATGTATTCTTGAATGTATTTCTTAGAAACAAGTACAAGATATATTTTTGTTTTAAGGATTGAAATATTATCGAATGAAGTATGTCATATTCTTGGCATCAAAGAATATCAATTTTTTGTATCAAAAAATCCATTCTAGCGTCAATAATTTATAATACTCAAATGAAGAATTAGACAAGATTGTTATTACATGAATAAGTTTTTCTAAAAAGAAAGATACGTTATTCTTGACTTAAGAAATCTATTCTCGATACGAAAATGGGGTTGTTGACGTAACACTAAGATACTCTTTTTCAAGATTATTGATTTACTTTTACTAAGAATTCGTTTTCTTGAGAATCAAAAATATTTGTATACTTACTTTGAGAATATGTGATTTTTCTTCACTTTGATTTTTCAACAAAATGATCTTCTTGTGGATATATAAGAATATGATAAGCTTGAACCAAGAGTAATAATCTTCGTTCAGGAATATATTTCTCTCTGTGTACAACCAGTGATATCATTTTCATTGATAACTGACGTAATTTTATCAAGTATCTGAAAAATTGCACGTGACGTTGATCGTCCTTTTATATACCCATTTTGGATATCATTTAGTACTTTGTTTTTAATTACAAAAGCCATTATTCTTCTCAATGCAATTTTTTCAAATATTTTTGCTATATTTGATATCAACGCAATAGGACGATTGTTTGAAAAAACCCATCGATCTCGTTTCTTATACAATGGTTTAATTGCTGCTTTTTTTAAGGCGTGCTGGAAAAACGCCTATAGAAAAGGACAAATTGATAACATTACTCAATGGTTCAGAGAGAGCATCAGAAGAGAACTTCAATAAGGCCACCGAAATCTCAACAAAGCCTACCGCTTTTGTATCATTTAAAGATTGTATTATTTTTTGATCTTCTATATTGCATCACTTAAATAAAATGTGAAAATTTTAGATATTTGTAAGTTTCTTATTCTTAAGAGAACCGTATTAGAAATTTGTACACTATTTATAAAATATGCATTAGCAGCATTAAGTATATCTATATCATTTTCATACACTGGTCGAAATACGTTTAGATCAAAATAGTTATTTGATTTTTTGCATCTCCTGAGTGAATTAATGGTTGTCCACGTAGCTTTAGCTTTATTTGACGCATTTTCAATATATTTAATATACGAAGCCTTTTTTGATCTTTCAATTTCTGTCTTTAGGTACTGACAGAAATTTGTATAGGCTTCAGAAGTAACAGTCCCATTAAATATCCTTGTTCCGCTGTTTTATTTTTGATTTCTTCTGTTAATCATGTTTTCACTTGTTGCTTATTTCTATTTCGAAATGAAATATCAACAATTATAAATTTGCTCTGTCTATCCAAACTATTTCGAATAATGCTCAAAAAATTATTAAAACAGTTTTCAGCATTTTGCATGCCTTTTGTAAATGACCAATTTGGGGCATTCATATCATGATATATGTGCGTTAATATGTCTCGATTTAGAAAACGTTTCTTTATTTTTGTTTTAATTTTTTTAATCCCACTATTGATTAAAAAGGATATCTCTTGCGCGAAGTGATCTGATAATGTAGATACTAAAGTTTTACTCGCATATGATTCTAGGTTTGTGAAGATATTGTCAATTTTAGTGTCGGGTCGATTATTTTTTCGGGTAGTTTCCATAATTGAAGGGTGTAGGTCATATCTCGATAGGGTTTCCAAATAATAATGATATTTAACTATTCTCTCTCTCCTAGGCCAANTTTTTGAGAGAATATGAAGATTGATAAATAAATATTTTCTGAATAATAAAAATTTAGTTTTTATACATCACTTAATTAGAAATATAATTTTGAAATTTAAATAATAATAAATAATAATCGCTTCTCGTTTGATGTTGATGAGATAATAAAAATTTGGAGAAAAATTCAGGGTAATTATTTATAACAAAAAGTGCACATTCCAGAATAAACAAACATGGGAAGGTGAGAATATTTTATTCTGTGAAATGAGCTCTACATGCGTCACGCGGACCTAAACCGAAAACCGCTCATACACACTTCTTCTGAAGGATGAAAACACGTTCCGAAGTTGCTGCATTTCCCCAGAAAATAACTCCATATCTCAAACACGATTCAACACACTCATAATAAACTCTTAAAGCGACTCTTTCACCTACACATCGTGACACTGTTCGAAGCGCAAAACATGTTCTGGATAAACTAGTTGTCCACCCATCAATGTGTTGACTCCAGAAAAGGCGGCAGTCCATCTTTAAACCCAGGAACGTTACCTCCTGTTGATAGGTGAGTAATTGTCCTCCAAACATTATTTTTATCTCAGCTGTTTTATTTGCAAAAATCATAAAAGTTGATTTTGCTATATTGAGCTGTAGATTATTTCCCAACAACCATTCGTTTAGTTTTGTTAGATTCTCTCTGGCCATTCTTAAGACCGCTTCCTCACTTTTTCCAGATATAACAGAAGTTGAATCATCCGCAAATAATACCAGTAAACTATCAGTTAATATGTCTCGATTTAGAAAACGTTTCTTTATTTTTGTTTTAATTTTTTTAATTCCACTATTGATTAAATATATCTCTTTCGCGAAGTGATCTGATAATGTAAATACTAAAGTTTTACTCTCATATGATTCTAGGTTTGTGAAGATATTGTCAATTTTAGTGTCGGGTCGATTATTTTTTCGGGTAGTTTCCATAATTGAAGGGTGTAGGTCGTATCTCGATAGGGTTTCCAAATAATAATGATATTTAACTATTCTCTCTCTCCTAGGCCAAAATGCTTATATTTCTTAGGAATTTCAGCATCCTTCCCTTGGTAAACGTCAATACGAATTAATGGGCTTCATTGGATTGTATTGTTTGATTAGGCTTCGTCCTTTGAACGCTATCATCGATTCGTCTACACTCAACTTTCTGCATTCCCTATAAATGTAATGTTCAACTGACAAATCATTGGCTTTTAAATAGTTTATCTTTATTATTTGGAATTGTTGTAGGCATTGAAAAGAATACATCCCATTTTCCATCATTTTGATTATTAATTTCCATATTTTCTTTGTCTTATTGGTTACCATCACTTCTATGTAGCATTTGATGTTGTTCTGTTACTAATATTGAAATTTCTTCGTTGTCATCTTCAACCACGTCTTCGAAATCTGTTTGAAAGCCATTGTTCAAAACCATGTCCTCATCAAATAACTCATGTACGTAAAAACGTGCTTATTTGTCTGTTATATGTTATGTTTTCTGTTCTACTGATGTTTTTTAGTAATTGCAACGCGTGTGAAGAAGAATCAGCACATAAAAGCAACATAGTTATACGATAACATAAGGAAAAGTAATATGGGGATAGTGTAATAACTAATAACAAGAAAAATCTATTTCAGAAATAAAATAT